TCGTGCAAACCCTCTTATGCTGTTGATGTGCAGCAGCTATGGTTCAGGTAGCGTAATGTCCCTCCATCAGCTTGTGCGCTGAACACTGACTCAGTTAAGGGTGTTTGTGGAATTAAAAATGTTTGAAAGCCTTATTTTAATCCAGAAATCCTGTAGGTGAACTTACGGCACAGAGTATAAGAACGCATTCGAACAAGTAGAAGACGAAAAGAATGAAGAAGGCGAAAACAAATACCGCCGCTTGGATGCATAATTGAACTTCGCGTACGAATTTTTTTGAAGTGGATCTGTAAATCTTTTTATACAGCCATGCTTGGTCTCGTAATTGTTGATAAAATAGAAAATATTAAGAGGAACGGGCGGAGGTGCTGTAATGGCAAGGGGAGCACTATTATATGCACAGTTCAAGGACCGAATCTCGGATCGATGCTCGATCAGGTTGTCAAGCCTCCTATCTCTCCAGGATTTCTTATTCATATCAGGCTCGTCTGGAGGGATAAGGCGCACACTAGCACGTAGGCTGGCCTCCACAGCCTATGTGGTAGTGCCTGGCCTGGCCTCCTAGGTTGGCCTCTCGCCCTTGTATAGGCCGCATAAGCATTCAAAACCTCATTACGATTCTGGGTAGATGTTCTAAGAGAAATACCAAAAACCGAGATCGATGATCAGTAGAGGATTGGTCACAGAAATTGTAAAAGGCTGTAAAGTGAGGCTGATATCGACGGTTGGTATTCGAGTGGTAAAGCGGCTCAATCTGGAGAACAGTCTGGATTGGAATAAAATTCAAAGGTAACGGTCGATTTCGACGGTCTGACGGACAGCATTTTCGTTCTACCCAAGAAAGCAGATTACTGTAAACCTATTACATCCATTTATAGGCAAGGATGTACAATCACGGGCTTCCATGTTCATAAAAGAAAGTTTCTTCCGATGTTCAGTTCGAAAACAAGTAAAAAAAGTATTATAAAATAAATAAATAAATAAATAAATTTTATACCTGACTGCGCTCAGTTTGCAAAATATTTGTCTCAATACGGCACCATAGCAAAAAATGCATATTGCAAACGTTGTGAAGACGGAAATATACATAACGAGCGCAAGAACCTTCAAAAAAATATTTTTCACATCGAACTTGTTGTTGTCAACCTGGGAAGTAGCCCTGCTTACTCGGCCCGGCCCAGATCCGCTCGGATATGAGGTGAAACTTCCCTTTTTCATGATGAAAAACTCAGTGTCATGCATCATCCCTCTACCCACATGATCCACCACCCACCTTGTAACTTATGGCATCGAACACTAGCGCGTATACACGAGTCGGTCCCAGATTGGAATTGATCACAGGTAGAATCGGAAAGGTCACGATGGCAGACACAAGCCATTGTATAGCGACGAAGCGTATAGGAGAACCTCTGTTGACCCACTGAAAAGGCAACTTTCAGAATCTTCTAAATTTGGAAAAAACAAGACTTAGAAAATTTTACCGCAAATTTAGGTGATGACCACAGACACAGAGCGGTAAATCGTTGGAACGATATGAGCATAACGCCCATACAACGTAATGTCAAGCAGAATGTCAATACCCTCACAACGATATTCGTCACTATTCGAGTCAGAGCCGAGTTCACTTTGATAGAAAAGCAGATGTAAGCGAATACAATAAAAGTAACATATGTAATCAGATAAAACAAGTCAGCGATACCCTGAAATTACTGGAAATTCAGCTACTTACCATAAAAAAATTGACTGGTGACTAGATAGAAAAACAACGAACTCCCCTGCACCTCTACCTGCACACTGAGGGTCATAGGTGAAGGTAGAGGACTGTTGTTTGGATAGCTTCCCCTCAACCGTTTCTCTGCCCATGCCTTGCATTAAAAGGGTATACTTAATGTGGACCTAACCATCGAAAGGTGCATCTTTTTTACTTCCAAGCTGTTGCAGCCAAGCTTTTCAAAAAATACTCCGACAAGAAATTCAGTTTTCTCAGCCGATCAAAACCTTCGCTCAGGCCGAAAACCTCATTGAAGTCATTAGTCTAACTTTTCCAGAACAGATAAACTCGCAGCGCAAGGTTCGAACTTTTAGATAGCCGTATTAGTGCATATTTTGGTTTTGTACAGTATTTTATAGGTGTACGTAACGTGTTGGAGGTGGAGCACTATCACAAGCATAGTGCGGGGATGGAATACCGTCTCGATTACTTCCCAGACCAACCAAATCCTTCATCACTTGGTGGTCGGTTAATTGGTACCAGACTCGTCTGGGAAGACTACAACACTGACTTCAACATGGGCTGGCCACTGCATATCATTGTATAGCCACTGAAACCGCCACTACGATTCTTAATGGAAGTCGAGGAATCGAAGTAGGGGGGAGCACGCAAAACAGTATAGATTACTGCCTAACCCTTCAGAACTCTGACTGCATTTTGTGGTAACGAAGATTACGGTAGCATTACCTGTGAGATTATAAGCCAATAGAATGGTATATGAAAACCTGTAGCTTTTCTATTACGAATAAGCAAAACAAGTATAGTAAAGTAGACGGGCAATGTTATCATGGAACAAACAACAAAAATCACATCTGGCGCATTCCACATCTGTAAAATCAGAAAGTTAATCAAAGAAGTCGAAGGTCCTGGAAAGAAAAAACCTGAATCAAAGACAACAAAAGTGCATACCACATGAGTCATGGGAAAAGTGACTGAGTACGAATAGAGAAGGAAACACCAGTCAGAAGTAGGGCTCTCCTTCGAGAAAGTCCAGACAGTCTTACTGTGCCGAGTCTGATCGACTAAATTTGGAAATGGCTCAACATTTTACTCGTTCGCGCAACAAAGAAGGTCCTCTATTTATTTTTTGCAATCTTAATGGACTGCTAAGAACAGTCCCTTTTGTGTAACTGCAGAAAAAAGGCAAGCATGAAAGCTTCTAAATCCTTCGAAAATAAGAAGAGCAGTAAACGCTTAGGAAGAACTTTGTTCGGATTTTTCGCAGCAGAAATACTTGAATAATACTGGAAAAGACTTTTGTAATGAACGCTCGTGTATCTCCCTGCCAGGCAGTCTCTAGGAACAAGATAACATACATAAGCAAGTGGATTGGCGTAACTCACCGAGTACTGAAGGGCTTAGTGGGCTGCAGGTTAGCTGCAGGGCCAATTAAGAAGGAAATATGGCTGAACCATGCGAATCTCTTACTCAATCTCCTAACTACTTGCTCATGCTAATCTCATGAGTATAACACAATTTTATTTAATATACTTGTTGGTTTTCATCCCGCCCCTCACAAGCTTACTCAGAATGACCCAAAATGTGGTTTGCAACTTTCCCTCAGCTTATGCACAGACCTATGTTGATCCGTCAAGTGTCTTGACGAGGGAAGGTATGGCTTCATACTTTCCTCGACCGGGATGACATTGACAGCCAATTGTCTGACCGACAGTCAGTCAGCCCTAATTTTCATCACCTCAGAAAAAATAGATCCAGTGAGGTAACGGAAAAGGATGGATTTCAAAAAGCAAACGAGCTTGCTCGATCCACCTGACGTCTCATCCGCTCATCTTCCCGATATAGATGTCTGAGAGCAAATAGTCAATAATCAGTGAAAAATTAAAGGGAAAAGGAGATCCATTCCCAAGAAATCATAGCCAATCAGGACAGAAAGATATGTATTTTTTTCCAAAAATAAACGAGGGTCTGTATGCGTGAAACGGGAATTTCAAGAAAAAATGAGGATCAGAGGTCATTCCACATGTGACCGTTACCTATGGAAGCGGGGATTTGCAACAAACAGAGAGCAAGCAACCTGTGAACTGGGTGGAATACATGTCGCCCACATAAAAAGTTTTAAGGACATAGCGAGGGCAAAAAGGAGGGTAATAATAGGTAACTGAATTTTTTCATTAGTAATTAGGTATAGGTTACCAATTTGCTGTGAATCAGGCGCGATAAATTGAAGGCAAATTACATAAGGTTACTATATCATTAGAAGGGGAGAATGATAAGGTCTCAGGGTGTTAATCGCTCCCTTCTGAGGGAGGTGCACCCACATTTGACTTCAATTCGAAATCGTAGTGGCGCATCGGGTGCGTATGTAGCCATACGGCGACTTTCGATGGTTAGCCGATGTACAAGTCAGTGCTTTTATCCTCCCACACGAGTTTGTTACCAATTAACTGAGCCGGAGAGACGAGGGCTCTTAGGCCTAGGCGGATATCGATCCGGGTTCAAACCAGTCGCCATGCGCTCCTGATAGGGCGCTACGTGCCACTACACCACCTCTTCATTACCTTATTATTGTAGAATCAAATTGGTTCCAGGAAACCGTGCAATTCTTTAAAATGCGCTATCCCTTTAGAATACTTAGAACGTTCTTGAGCATTGTCTATGAAATCTGCTTTTCTGATAAGGTCCTGACGCGAAATGTCGCCAACTGAAGTATTACGTGTCTAAATAAATTCTAGCAAATTATCATTTCTCGCGGAGCGTGTTCTACGCAGAGGCTCCGCCCACACAGGGGCCTCAAAGTACGCTTTCTCGCTACCGTATATAACCTTGAGGGAGAACGTCCGTTGCGCGTGTCCGTCGAAAGTGGGTCACCCCGCCCACTTCGCGCGCGGCGCATCACACTGAGGTCTCGAGATGACATTACAGTACCACCAAGTGTCGTTGGAGCGAATGGTTTGCATTTGTCTGTGTTATCCTCTTCTTGAACTGACTGCCGTGGACCAAACGCAAAGCGTATGCCCCAGTGACAATTGCGACGTCTGTCGAATATCGCGGGCCGACTCGCCGCGTGCGACGGCTGCGGCGTGACCTAGTTTCGACGGACACGCGCAACGAAGCGCACCCAACCTTGAGAGTTCCTGTAATTATACTAAATATGCTAGCCTGAATCGAATCAATCGGTCGGATGTATAATGCAACTTACTCAATAAACAAACAAGCGAACAATTTAATAAACCGGTTTGTTTTCACGGGAAATCTGGATCGTTTAGACTTTGTCGAAGTGCCATTTCCCACTGCAGTGCCTGTTCGAATCCATCGACCCATCGACCGAGTGCGAATAGACAACAGCATTGAAAAGGAAAAAACAAAAGAAGCAGTCCTAGGAGGATGTGCGTCGTTCTGCGCGTCCGTCGAAACTAGGTCACGCCGCAGCCGTCGCACGCGGTATGTCAGCCCGCGATCTTTGACAAACGTCGTAATTCTCAGCAGCGGGGCATATGATTTGCGCTCATTCTACAGCAGTCAGCTTAAAGTGAGAATAGCATGGACTAGTGCCAAACATACGCTCCGCTGACACTTAGGGGTACTGTAATGGCATCTCGAGATTGCGGTGGGCTGCGTGAAGGGGGTGGGGTGATCTGGTTTCGACGGACGCGCGGAACTGACGCTCCCCGTCCTATAATGACTGATTCTTGAGTAAACGATGAAAAGAAAAGCGTGATACAAAGAGTTTTTCAATGCAGGTCTCCAGGCTTTCCTAGGTTCAGTTGTCATAATGAATTAAAATCCATTTTCCTAAATATCAAAGTATTTTTTCATGAAAAAGTTGTAATGTTTTGGGTGGTTTGGGTCACGGGACCTTCCAGAATGTTTGATTACTTGTTGGAAAATATATTACCTGCAACCTACTCGCTCGTCTTTTTTCTTCCTTCCTTTTTTCGTTTTATTTTTCATCATCACCTCGTATGGTATCCGATCCTATCTATAATATCATGAATTTTCTTCCTTTTCTTTTGAAATTTTCTGTTTTGCTTGATAGTTGGGTCATTGTCATTGTGTTTTTAATTTAGTGTAATGTGCAACGCTTTAGGTACTTTGGATGAATAGGTAAATAAATAAATAAATAAATATATAAATGAGAGTATCGAGATTTGTGACCGTGTCCCTTTCTTCTTCGCAAGGAGCTTGAACATGTAGACCAATAGAAATCTATAATTGGAGTCTCTCTTGCTTATGAGTTCACTTCGATATTCAGCCCGTTACTGGCCAGTAAAATTGAAAAAAAAAACGGAAATCACTAGCGCATAACTCATCTAATAAAACGGTGTAGAGCGGCCCAATAACGGGGAGGTTTCCTTTCACTTACACCTTCTCTGAAATGAGAGTCTTCCCGTCGCCACCCGCAGATTATACGAGTCATAGCCGAATGGCATCGCTCAGTGGGTGGGCAAGGTGA